GGTACCGGGGATTGAACTTGGGTCCTTGTGCTTGCAAGGCAGGCAGTAGAAGCCCTGATGAGTTAAATCCCCAGCCCGACAAAGGCGATTTTTACACACTTAAAATAGTGAGAGACTAGACTGCACATGACCAAGACTACAAATTATGGTACGTTAGTTTGTGCAAGTAGGTAAAGACCATATCCAAGTTACCACTGTATTTCTGAATAAATCATTTGTGGATATTTTTGTTAAGTTTAGAAATCAAATGAGATCAGGATGTAGGAGGATAGACTAAACAATATTAAAGAGGCTTCCTCCTCCAAAGCTCAAAGTTCAGAGAAGAACTTGTGAGACACTTGGCTTGTCCAAATCACACTGCACCTGCAGAAGCTCGAGGTCGTCAGAGTTTTCAGACCCGGGAGAGTTCTCCATCAACACGGCAGACATCACTCTCACGTTCATTTTCACCATATCCAGTTCACTGTGCAGTTTTCCAATCTGCAGAGAGCAACACAATCAGTAGTAAGTGTTACACACAAAGAAAGCTAACACTTATTTTCTGCTCATGGGACACATGCTGGAAGAGAAAATGCTTTTGCAAAATTTGCTATTTTCAAACAGATTTAAGTTTCTACAAATATATATATATATATATATATATAGTTACTTTACAAATTATACTGTTAACTTCTAAATGTACTTCAGATCTCTTGTAATAAAGCCCAAATAATATGACCTGAGACATTAAGGAAATAAAAAGACTAGACCCAATCTGAAGAGGAGAGGAGGGGAGGAACTAGGTGCCAGCAGGAGAAAGTAGGAGGAACTTGGACAGAAGGAGAAGTGGTCTTGGCAATCAACTGGAAGGGGGGGGCGGATAAAAAAAGATTTGATGTGAGATGTTGTTTTTAGATCTAAAATATTCCCCAAAGTCTCATGGAGGGTGATACTGGGGGGGGGGTGCTATGTTTATCTGAGGAATAAGCCACTGATGAGTTCATAGCCAAATGTGCTTATTAGAAGGTGGGGTCTGGTCACAAGGGGTGAGTCATTGAGGGTCTGACCTGGAAGAGTGTATTCTTGCTCCTGGCTTCTCCCTTCTCTGTCTGCCTCCTGGCTGTCTCTTGAAAAGCTTTTCTTTGCCATGGCCTCCTCCCATTCTATTCCTGCCTCAGACTCAGCCAACCACAGCCTAAACCGTCTGACACCATAAGCCAAAATAAATCTACTTTTTTTTTTTGAGACAGGGTCTCACTATGTAGTTGAGACTGATCTGGAACTCAGTATGTAGCCCAGGCTGGTCTGGAATTCACAGTGATCCTCCTGCCTGAGCCTCCAAAGTGCTGAGATTACAGGCCTGTGCCACCACGCCCGGCTAATCTCTCCTCTTTTAAATTGAGGGAGGTGGGTATTTTGTTTCAGTAATTGAAAAGTGACAAATACATCAGCATTCTCATGATATTACAGGGAGAAGGACTAAAAGAGAAATTTTTTTTTCCTTCTTGGATGAAATCCTAAGAGGAATTAATTACATAGATGTTTATGTAAGAAACACTGAATAATATAAATACAAAGGCTTCAATGATAGTTTTTGACATAAATAAGCTTTAAATAATTGCTTATCTGGACCTCTGATAAGCAGATAGAGAGAGGCAAAGGAGCAAATGCAAATCAGTTGGCACAATCAGTACAAGTAATAAGACTATGGTTCACTGAGCTCTCTGAAATGATATGGGGACAGCTTACCAGTACTAACAGGATTCAGCCAGTACACACAAGAGCCATTCCACAGCCAAGGTGCTACAAAATCCTAAAATCCACTAGCCAACCATAGTTCTGCCAAGTGTTAGCTTTGGAATCAGAGAGATCTTACTGGGTTACTTTGGCTTCAAAGTGAACCATGATAAGTCACACAACCTAAGTTGTGGTTTTCTCTACTTTAAAATGAGGGTAATAACGTGCCCATGATGTTATGAACCAAGGAAAAACAAATTATGCGCATAATGCTTAGATCAAGACATCAATACATTTGTCACTGTTATTACCTGTTCTGGGACCAATGTAATAGTTGTGTTCCTGGGAGCAGTTACAGGAGAAAGAACTGGTGCCGTCGGGACAGACGCTGGTGGAAGCGATGAAGTCTGAGGAGTCTACCAGATTGAAATACGGAAATACGATGACGTAATGAACACAGCCACCCTGAGCCCAGTTTCTCCATTCGGCTGACCCAGGCACTCCCAACTGAAGTCTCGAGTATGAGCTGCTGATCTGGAGTCAATCATCAAATGTCCATCCTATCCAGCATTTTGAGAAGAGTGCTAAGCAAATGACATGCCCGTAACAGAGGATGTATTAAATAAAATGCAGTTGCATTTTGATTTATTAATTAAATTATGATTTAATAAAGTGCTCTTGATTTTTACCATGGGTCTGCATGATAAACTGTCACTCGAGATTACTGTTGCCCCTTTGGGCTGTTTAAAAAAAAAAGTAGAAAATCAAGTCAGGTCAACCTGGCAATGCATCTCCTCTACCAGTGAAGGCAAACCTTTTAGAGACCGAGTGCCCAAACTGCAATCCAAAACCCACCGATTTATCACAAAGTGCCAACACTGCAATTAAGCCTGAATACTGAGGTTTTAGTTCAGAAAAAACAATTCGGTATGAATATCCTTTGTCTTAAAAACAAATGACACACATACCACAGGTCTGCTGCTCAACCAATGAACACCTCTGTCCCTTAATCTCTGCCTCATCTTCAGCCTCGGCTGGACAGTCCAATCAAGGGCCCTAGGCCAGTGCTTCTCAACACTAACGTGCAGAGAAAGTTCCTGGAAATCTTACCTAGAAGAATATTCTGACTTAGTCTGATCACACTTGAGTAGCTAGCGAGGTCCTAAGCCTTGGTTATTTGATGAGCTATGTTTATATTCTAATAAACTCATCTCTTCCTGAAACTGCTTGAGCTAGGGTTGTCCCTTGCAATAAGAAAAGTAACATACTGTCTTATTCTTCATGGGTCAAAGACAGAAGCCTCCTACCTCCTGTCTTGCTGCTTCAGCTTCTGCACCTGGGGGAAGAAACTGAACACCTTTCTTGAGCAGGTCAAGGTACACTTCCTTCACTTCGCTGACATCCACACCTCCGGGGAAACCTTGTGACCAAGTCTGAGTTCAAGAGACAGAAAGTTCCAGGGTCAAAGCAACAGCGAAAACAAAAACAGTTCTTCAGTTTATAATGGAAAATGAGACATTTAACAATTACACATTATTCAGAGAAAGTTAAATTTTCGAATATTATGGACAAAGGATAGAATAATACAAAATATCTGAGACTGCCATGCTTTAACATCTTGATAAAACCCTGGGATAGACACTATCAATCATTTTTTGCTCTACTGAATCCAGTATTGATACTATTCTAAAATATTATCAGTAGCTCTTTCGCCAAGTAACCTTGAACTAGTCAGTTATCTACTCCAGAACACAGTCCCCCTATCTGCAAAATGAACACACACATCACTGTCTTGCCTACTTAACACGGATAAAATAGAAACTGATGGGAAAGTAGGGAAACGACTACAAATTCTTCAGCAAAACGCTACCATTCAATGTCAAGAAAGTATTAGTCTCCAGAAACCACCACAGACTTACCTTAATGAAATTCAAGATCCTGTGCTGAACGTCTAATGGCAAGGTATATCTGGGATTCAGCAGCTTAACTAGACTATCTTTAATGAATTCCTTCTTTACAATCAGAGCCTGGAAGCTTGGCCCACAGTTCTGCATACACATATCAATAAGCTGAATTAGGGAGAAAACAAAAATTAGACTTTATATTTTTCTGGCATAGCTAACTCTTAAGTAGAAGACAAAACCTGCTAAATAATAATTTCTATCAGCATTCTATTTGACAAGCTTCATTCACTTTCTACTAAAATGTATGGCGAAATGTTAGATTCCAGGGTGACTGCCTACAGCAGGGATGGCGAACCTTTCAGAATTTTCAGTGACTACTGTGCCTGCTATGGCACGTGTGCCATAGGTTTGCCGCCACTGGCCTAGAGGACAGACTTGATAGAGCAAGGACACAACCGTAAGAGCAGCAATAACAGGATGAGGTGGTAAATGCCAAGTGCTAAGTGGGCACTGCAAACAAAACATATGGGTTACAGTCAGGGTAAATTTTTACCAGTTTATTCAGGGTAGGTCTAGTAGGTTCCTGTTGCCCTGTTCTTATGAATGGTAACACACACTTTCACTCTCAAAAACATCCTGGTTTGGATGGTGAAATGCAGTCAGCCTTTATGCAAGTGTGATTATTTAGGGATAGGTGGTCTTACAAGAATTTTGGAAAGGTCTGGTCCTGAGCTGGACTTCGAAGCATGGCCAAGCAAAGTAAAATGAGTGTAGAGCTATTTTAGAGACAGGTAAACATTTCTATAGTGTGGATCTGGACTATCTCCCAAACAGCTACGTAGTGAAGGTTTGTACCCGAGCTTGGTGCTATTGAGGAGTGATGGATACCTTAAAATGCAGAGCCTAGTGAGATGTTTTAGGTTATCATGAGTGTGCTCTCAGAGGGGACTGTGGGACCATGGTCTCCTTCTCTCTCTTTCACTTTTTGCCCATGAGGTAAGCAGTTCTGCTCTGTTACGTGCTTCTGTGATGACGTGTTGCCTCATCACAAGCCTAAAAGCGATGGGGCCAATCAATCATGGACTGAAATCTCTGGAACCACAAGCCAAAATAACTTTTCTCTTTACAACAAATACCAGGTATTTGATACAGTAATCGTGAAATGGCTAACGCAAATGGCATGAAAAAAATACAAAGGTAGCAGCCTGTCTGAGTTTATGAGGGGGAAGAGGAAGATTGTAGTTTGTCTCTGGTAATCGCTTCTTAATAAAAGCAAATTGGGGGGCTATTAGGGAAATAGAGTGCATAAAGTCTATAAGGGCATCTTCTAGACAGCACAAAAATTTGTGTGGTAGTGAAAACTTCAGACATTGCCCTGAAGGCAGAAAGAAGGCCCCTAAGGGGTTTTTGTCAGTTTATCACCTCCACACCTCTGCGTGGAGCTCAAGAACAAGGTTGGAGCAAGCAAAGAAACACGCTAGAAAGGTTGTAAGGCAGCACTCTACAAACGGAACTGGAAAGCAAAACAGCCAGAATAAGAGGAAGATCCAATATGGGTGTGATGCAGAAAAGGTCTCAACTAGGACAACATGGGCTCAAGGCAGCGAAAGTCAGGAGAAAAGAATGTAGGGAGATCATGGAATGGCTCAATGTCAAAGACAGAGGGGGACTGGAAATGAAGTGACCTTCACTCTGGGTCTGAGACTGAGGTGTCTTCCATGGGAGCCTGGAAGTGGATGGGGTGGTATGACCGGCAATCTCAGGCGGAGAAAGGATGAGTGGAAATTTAGAGATCTTGAATATGAAGGTGGGACCTTCCAGGAGATGTTTAGCAGGAAGCTGTACTCACAAGGACCTTCGCGGGAATCATCAAGGCCAACTGTGTTGGGTACAGAGAAGTGGCTGGGGAACTGGCCTCACCTACGACACAGGCCAGAGAAACTCAGGAAAGGCAAAGAACAAAGTGAACAGAACGAGGCAAGGAGGATGGGGAACAGAAAGGGAGAAAGAATGAGGTGGTATGGAAGTCTGCAGCAGAAAGTAGATCTCTAGAAGTGACCCTCCTAGTCTCCATGCCAACACCTTGAGTTAAAAGAGGTCACAGCAGCCATATCCCGGACAGGACAGGTATCATAATCTGTACAGAAAAGATGCCTTGACTTTCCCCGTGCTGTGTGTTCCAGGTGTCACTTTAATGGCAATACAAAAAGCAGCAGTAGGTATGAAAATGATTAAATTGGGGTGATCAAAAAAGCAATCAGAAAATACAGAAGCTGAGGGCATTTAGCTACATGACACACGGAAAAAAAGCACGTCTTTAAAGCAGAGGAAAATACATGCAGAATCCAACACATAGTAAGATAATTCTTATCCATACAAGATGGCTACACAAAGCTCAAAGGGTGACTAATAAATGACACTGAGCTTGATATGCAGAATCCAACACATAGTAAGATAATTCTTATCCATACAAGATGGCTACACAAAGCTCAAAGGTGACTAATAAATGACACTGAGCTTGATAGAGTATGAGTATGATTAAATAATGAGTTTTTAATTGGTGAAGTGCTGAAAGGACAGGGGCCTCTAGTTCAAGAGGAGTTTATGGAAATACTTCGCCAAATTGTTTGTGCAGACTTAAGCAAGATATCTACCTTCCAAGACCCACTTTCTCTTATGGTGAAACAAATGGTGAATCTCTTGCTAAATATGCCACAAAGCGAATCGTTGGAGCCCTGAAACTGTATGATAATGGGGAACATTCCCGGGAGATTCACGCACAAAATCAAACAGTCAACATGACACTCTGAGAAGGTTAACATCTGGCGATCAGCAATCATGCCCTTTGAGCTTGCCCAGCGGAGTCCTGCATGTCAGGACTAATTACTTCTATATCACTTCCTCTATTGTGTCTCTCATACTACAACCCAGCCCATGTGAGTAGCAATAAAACCAAACTGGGAAAAATACACACGAACTGTTCTTCCTTTGTTTTTCTCAGGAATTTGATCACGATGATGAAAATCTGCCCAATAATCAAAATGATAACAACCAAGTTTCAGGGCTCCTAAGAGCTGAAGACCAGGCCAAGACCACCCGCGCTGACCACACCAAAGTGTGTCTACCTTTACTCTCCTGTGACACTCCTAGGAGAGCTCAATGCTCTTCATGTAACAAGCCGCTGCAAGGACAACATTTTACACGTCTCAGGGACCACCACAGCTCACCACTTAGTGGCTACTCTGCCGAAACCTAATAATTCACTGATTCTCAGAAACCCGGCACCACTTTGCATGTAACAATGATAGTAGTATCTTGCTGAGATGTAGCACAGTGACTCATTCAAGGAAAGGAGAGTCTCTGGCTCAGAGCAATAAAGCCTAGCAGCACTGCTTTTTTGAAAAACAAAACTACTAACTTCTTGGGCTGGCGTGTGGTTCAAGGACCCTAGCACCAAAAATAAAAACAAACTACGGGCTTCTGGATAAAACTGCACCATCAACTGATGGCAGGAAATCTCAGTACAGTCAGATTCCATGAAAGAGCTAAGTGAGGCTAACAAGTCCATGGAGAACCCAATATGACAGATAATATAAAAAACACTCATAATTGACTGTGACAGGCTCTTATCACTTCACAGTCATAAGATGGAACTGTCACATATGGGGATTGCTTTTTAAAGAGTTTATTGGTAAACTTGTAATTGCCTCTGACAGACATTGGGTGATTCCTTCTGTGACTAATTTCCCTCATAATTCAGACTGGCTCAAGTGAATCCTGAAGTCAGTCCTGAGGCCTTCTGTATACCTCTGCAACATGACAAGTAGCCTGAGGTGAGGGGCCTGGCCTGTTATATACACAACCTAAGGAAATCTGCACAAACTATCGAGAATCAAAAGGTTCCTTACAGGAAATTCGAGAGACAGTAGCTATTATGATCTCCATGAACTCGGCCCCTGACAAGGAAGTTGTACTCCAACCCCTAAGGACTCCAACCCCTGTCTCATGCTTAGTTAAGCACAGGTTTTAGAATTTCTTACCCTTAGATACTGGTATGGAAATCGGTGGCGGGGGGGAGAAGTTACAGCTGTGAGGTGGACAGGTACTGGAAATAAGCAGCTAGCTGGTGGTGATGTCTGAGAGATTGGACCAACCAAAGGGCAGGGAGAGGGGGAGCCCAAAGAGAAATGGAGAGCCAGAGGAACAATACTCTGGCCTAAGCCAACTCTACAGGGAAGGCCACGCTCAGAGGGAAACAACCATGGTAGAGGAAGACATGGGAATGGAGAGATGCAACCACAGGAACACCTAGTAGGCTGGACATGACAGGGAAAGAGGCAAACCACTACAAAGGGTCACCCGCAAGATGGCACCATAATACCCCATGCTGAATTAGACACAAAATCATCTTCCTCTCTTAACCTTCTGCAGCTTCAAGACAGCCCGGGTACACTTCATTTTAGGGCAAATCTACCCTCCTTTTTCCCCTAACTCCGTATTTCTTTTCATCAGTGCTTGAGTCTTCCTGGATAGCAGGAAATGAGATGCGGTGTGTGCGGAGACACTTCATCATTAACTGAGTTCACACCTGGCCTTCGCCACTACAAGATGCAATGAAATACAGTTGCGTCTTCTTTTAAAAAGGCGACTGATTCATTCTGAGAAGCAAAGTGGAACGAGATTTAGAATCTGAGGACTAGGTTCAAATCCTGCCTGCGCCACCTAAAACCCAACTCACTTAACCATTTAGTCTGAGTTTCATCACCTGTGAAATGGGACAAATAACACAACTATCTCCACTGGTGCCAAGAGCACCAGTCAGGTGGGAGGCATTTCTGTCACTGCCCCAGTGTTCTGGTGTTTCCACACAAGTGTTTTACTCCTTTTTCCATCGTTTCCTTCCTTCTGTGATCTTCCCGAGGTGGCTGTCAGGAGTCAAACACAGCAGACTGAAGGAGGCAAACGCCTCTGAAACTATACTGAGATCCCAACGGATGGGTTTCCTTATTGATGGCATTCCTGAAGACTGTTCATTCATTTCTTCTCATCCCGTTGGTCTCCAAGGATGCGAGATGGGATACATTTTGTTTTGTGGCTCTAGACACAGGGAGGTAAGGTCCCATCTTCCCTACAGCCCTCTGGATAAACACTCCCAGAGCTCTTAGGAGCAGGGCGAAGCCGGCCATTGATGCAGTAACTACGGGTGGTCCAGGACTAGATGAAGAGAAATAAAGGCATGCAGAAGCAATCAGAAAGCCACACAACTAACTCTCAGGTGGCACACAGGGCTGATCGCGCACACCAAAGTAAAAAGGGCAACTCACCAAGGGGACGGGGAGGAAACAGGAACATGTCAAACAAAGAGTCCACATGCAAATCACAGACGATATGGTACACAGGGCAACTGCTTAAATCAACAGAGAACTTTCTCCAAGATGTACCAAGGAGCTGACCTTGGATAACCATAAACTGCCAGCAACTCAAGATTCCACAAAGATACTCAGGTGGAGTAGAAAGCTAAGAGGGAGGCATTTTTTCCAGACTTTAATTCTCAGCATCTTCAATGATGCTTAATTAACACACACACTTCTTGACTGGCTCTGTAGCTACAATGTTTAAACCACCAGATCCCATTTCCTGACCAGAAAAAAACAGATCCTTCAGGAATGCTTTTTTCCACAAAAGGAAAAGCTATTATTATAATCAACGAAGCTCTTACTTCTCAAAAAGTGATAATCTTAACTCATACATTATGTAACTTCTGCTGACCTAGTAGTTATCTCAGAATTATTTTTTAAAATATGTGATGATAACCAGGCGTGGTGGCGCATGCCTATAAATCCCAGCTCTCAGGAGGCTGAGGCAGGAGGATTGCTGTGAGTTCAAGACCAGCCTGGGCTACATAGTGAGCTCCAGGTCAGTCTCAACTACATAGTGAGACCCTGTCTCAAAAAAACCAAAAAAAAAAAAATAAATAAATAAATAAATAAAATAATAATAAAATAAAATATGCGACTATAGCTTGGGAAGTTCTGGAGTCTTAATTATTAACATTAGGGTACTTACTGACAAAGCAAGTTGGATTTCTTTATGATTGTAGTTTTTGGAAATCCTTTTCTTCAAAGCTTTCACTGCATCTTTTGGCCTATGGCAATAAATAAACTGAAATCACCAACCCAGGCACACCGGCAATATGCTTTGCACAAAAAAATGAGTGGCTAAGGAGCAAAAACAAAACCTGCATTCTGCTCTGACATCTTACCTGGATCACTTAGCTTCTTCACCTACATTCCCTCCTGGACATAAGCAGACAATACTACCTACCCCCTTGTGAAAAAATCAAACGAAGCATTTACATAAGAGCATTAACTAGAAAGTACTACCCACAGGAAATGTGCTCACCAGACCTCCTGCCAGTGCATACGACCAATTTACAGCAAGTATAACCCAAACCCATGAAGGAGACCATCTTTACTAAGACCACAAGTACTTCATGAGCAACCTATAGGCCTGGGGACCTAAGAAGAATCACAAGGCGAGCTCTGAAAGGCTACAAAAGAAATAACTGTAAGTAGAGGGTCAAAATTCCTAAGATTCCTTTTTGTATTATCAATGAAGAAATTGGAATTATCAGTGAAAAGGTTTCGAGGGTCTAGAGACAATAAATGAGATTACAGAGAAAAATGTATGAATACTTAAAAGTGCTAACCATAAGCACGTTTCACTGACATTTAATCAATAATTAATTTGCAGTATTTTCTTCATTAGCATAAATTAGACTAAATCTTTTACTGTCAGTTATCAGTTCAATAGGTACAGGAAAAAATAATAGAAGTGTATCCTTTATATTAAGCTACAGTTGTCTAAAGTCAAACTAGTAGGACCTTCTTAATGACTTAAAAAAATTTTTTTTGTACCGGGTATCAAACTCAGGACCTTGTGCTTAGGAGACAGGCATGGTGCCATTGAGCTAAATCCTTGGCCCGTTAATGTCTTTAATCACTTCAGATCTCTGAAATTTAAAATGTACATCAAAAAATTGCACACCGTTTACGAGTACGGCATGAACATGACTGAGTTACAATTAAGGGGGAAAAAAAAATCTAGTAAAAAGGAGGAAAAGACTGCTTCATTGCTTTCCAATAAAGGTGACTGCCCAGAGAAGCCATCACCACTAAGAGTCGACCAGCTTCGGGACAACACTTTTCAGTTACATAAAATGTTGGCAATCAGAGCAGGAAAAACATCCTAAAGAAGGAGACAGTCTATCTTTTTCTTAATCTTCTGAGTACAAGGAACTCGCTCCTCACAGAGAGAAAATTTGAAACTTTATTAAAAAAAAAGAAAAAAAAAAAAAAAGGCAAAGATACTTCATAGGCTGGAGCAGGCAGCTGCCCTAGTGCATCAACCGGCACCTCCAAAAGGTAGCAGATGGCTATGGGGCGCTGAAAACAATCTTTCAAGACGAAAAACAAAAGTTGTGCAGAAGAAAGCATGGTGCTTTCTGGTGTTTCTTATCAGGGACAAATCCATGGACACCACACTGAACTCACCCATCCTGAGTAGCGTTAATTACGTCGCAGATGTGCATGAACTGGCCCCAGTCTTCCGTCTGCGCACCAGCAAATGTAGCTTTTTCTGCAAAGAAAAAGCTGTTTGTGTTGAATCTCAGCTACAACATAATAATAATGATAATAATAATAATATAATAATAGTAAGTCTGGTCTCTCTGAAACAATCTGCTTCAGATGTAATAGCAAGTACTATTACCAAAGGGCAAAGGGGTTTATTTTTTGGTTTTTTTTCCTTGAACAATTTCCACTCATTCAGGAATCAATCGGAACTCAAGCTCAGAGAGTGGCTTTTGCAAATGTAATGAGTGACCTATTAAAAAAGACTGCAAACACGACACCTGGCCACTGGGCTTGAACAGACAGGATGAATCGCCATCTGTCCATCCTTCACAGAACAGGAGTACGGCTCATTGAGCACCACCTATTAGGTGACCAGCGCAGTGCTACGTATTTTATCATACGCAGTCCCACCGAACCCACTGTTAGAGGGGATGAAACAAAAAAAGCAGAGGTTAAGGAAACTGCTCAAGGTTACACAATAGGTAGGAAGTAGAACTTGAATTCAAATGGAGGTTGCTTGACCTCAGTATTTGCTTTTAAAATTTATTTACTGGGAGAGGGTGAGAAAAAGGGAAGTGATTTCTTCTGTTACCTATGTTAACCAAAGCTACACCAGGCAGACTTGCACCTTCTTACACCTGGAACTCTATTATTAAATAGCCATACTGTTAAGTGAAATAAGACACACACATGTAAATACCAAATAGTTTCTCTGGTATGAAAAACTAAAAGTATAAATAAGATCCCAACAGTATAACTGATAATGTGAACTAGGAAGAAAAGGGTGTAGGGGAAGTGGGAAGGGTAGGGGAAAGGAAATAAGGGGAAAGAAAAAAATATGAGACAAGGACAAAATGGAAAGTCTTTGTAATGGGAAAAAATGAGAACCAAGATCCGTCATGTAAAGGTACAGGATCCCAATGATGAGTAACTATTGTATACATAAAAAGTGCCAATAAACTCAGTGAGAAAAAAGAATAATCATCCATCCCCCCTCCAGGCATCCTCTTTAATAGTATAAAATATTATCTGGAAAGTATAATACAACTGTCAACAGTTTATCTTCCTACAAGAAGGGAGAGGACCCCTACACATGAAAACACAGGGTCCGGGGAATGGAGACAAAATAATGAAAAAGTTAGAGAACAGGACTAAGGCAGAATAGGGCTTCGTGTGAGGGAACCCCAATGCTTAGCTTGCTTCCCATCTAGGAAAAGAGCTGCTGAATTTGGCACTGGGTGGCTAAAGCTGGCCAACGGGTGCTTTTAGAAAGCTTCTGGCAGGGCCGGGGATTCAGCTCAGCGGTTCAGTGGCCTGCCTTGCAAGCGTAAGGACCTGAGTTTGATCCCCGGTACTAAAAGAAAGAAAGAAAAAAAAAAGCATCTGGAAGTTCTACCTGTTCAGATGTTCCCCACCTGTCCGTTTTTCTTCCTTCTGAATCTTCTCATCTTCCTAGAAAACCCACAGCAGAGTCCACCTCTCCCTTTTCCTAAGTTTTGTGTGTTTTATATTGTTTTTGTGTCATAAAGGTTTTGTCCAGTATCGGCTTCCCTGAGAGAAAGCGAGTTCCCTGAAGTCTGAAGCCATATCCTACCCGTGCCTGGCAGGGGTGGCCCGGTGCAGGTCCAGGTAATTAGCAAACGTTTGCAGAATAAAACAATCCATATGTGGGCATTTCTTCTGCCTAGGGCAATTCAATCTGAATCTTGTTATGCCCAGGGTTCCTTCTAATTCCAAAAACCAACAAAGGTATTCAAGTATCTCATGTGTAATAATTAACAAGACTATGGACAGTTTAAGAAAGCATTTATCCCCACCCCCCATCCTACGAGAAAGTGGAAACTCAGGTCCTGGACAGTGATTTTGCCTCACACAGATGTCAACTGAGCTGTGACTGAATCCCTTCAGTTCGAGCCTCCTTACTGCTGGAACTACAGGGTTCTGGGGATGTCAGCACCCGACGGAGTTCCCAGTTCGCCTGGAATTAGTAACACTGGTGCCACACCCAGTTCCCAAGGGAGGAATCATGAAACAGAAGGAGGAAGGAGCTGCTGTGAAGAGCCTACTCACTATCTCCTTGCACAATTCAGAATACACCACGGGCAGGAGAACCGAGTTAGGGCGATGCTGGCCGTCCCCCACTGGCACCTTTTAAACCAAGCATTCTCTTTGTCTACCCAGAAAGGCAACCAAGGGTGTCTGGAAAATACGGTTTGGAATCTCACAAGTCATTTCATCGAACTCCTCTGAGCTCTTTATTTTCTTCTTCCACATCTGTAAAATGGGCATAACACTAAGAACAACGCACTTGATGAAGGACCCAACCTCGGCCAGAAGTTTCCCGGCCTCTCTTTGCGGAGGCGGAAACGCTCCACACCTGCGTGCCGCGGGTCACCTGTTTGGCTCCCCACGGACAGGGAGGTGCATTTTAAGAAGCGGGTCGCAGAGTGGGTCCACCCGGGAAGACCCGGGTGCTCCGGGAAAGCCGCGCGCGGGGTTGTGGGGG